ATACAATCATGTTGTGCTATCAAGAAGGGTTTGACACCATTCCCATAGACCCTTTACAATACAAGGGCACAATTTTTTTGTCATTTTTTATTAATATGGATCCCACTCCCATGTTAGTATATGTAAGAAAGGGTGGCATTTTCTTTCAGGCAAAATAGCATAATTCTTACTTAATAACTATGTGACTTCTATCTTATTGAATATGAAAATTATTTTTGGTAGACAGATGCTCAAGATACTATTAATTATTATCGTTTGAGTTTCATCCTATTTCAATTTCTTTCTAGAAAAAAAAATGAAAATTAGATAAACTTAAATTATTTATAGGTTTCTAACTTGTTATTCTTATTAGAATAATGTTATGTAGCACAATTAGTGCTAGACAATCTACTTGTCAATTGAGTGAAGTTAAATAATCGAATATTTTAAATTGCTGAAAAAATTCAAAACTAATACATTAAGAATAAAATTTCAAAAATATCAAATTTGTAGAATCTTTTCAAAAGTCGGGTGATAAATCAATTTATATTGTCTATATATATATAAGAATATGTTGTTACTTAAATTAAGGATTAATATAGGATCTAAAACTAAGCAATTAGTTATTTCTTTTCACAGTTCTTGCACATATACCAATCTCATCTTACCTTCCAAGTTCCAACCGAAAATCTCAATTTCTCATCTTATCTCACCTCCCAACAAACGAAATCTCAAATTGTTTGACCATGACTTCATCAAATTTGTTGCCTCATAATCAATTTATCAATCTCATAGTCAATTTGTGCTTTCATTAACTTAATAATCTTTTTTATTACAGTTCGGACATATTTAAGAAAGATTATTTTCGATCGTTGAATTCGATGTAGATTTCTCTTTTCAGGCGCAAATATAGAAATATTTTTCTATGAATTCGATTTCAATTCGATGAGAGTTGCCAGAACAAGATAGTCAAAAAATTAGTGATTGGAGATCCCTATATTTCACCGTGAAATGATCATAAAGTCATTCTTCTTTCATAAGTCACAAATTGTGCCCTTGTTTGATAACCATTATTTCAAAAATACATTTTTCTCTCTCTTACTTTCGATCACACATTTTTCAATAAAAAAAAATAATATTACATACAAACCCAAAATTTTGCATTATTTTTTAATCACACATTTTTCATCAATTACTATTTCAAATTGCATTTTTTGAAAAAAGAAATAGGGGGAGGAGGGAAGCTCAAATAAGCTTTTATATTCTTGGATAAGTTGAATTGAAAGATTATTCAAATGAGATCTAATGTTGATCTGAAATTTTGAATTCATCTTGTGACATATAAGTTCAGGATTTCTTAACAAGTTTCTATATTTCATAAAATCTCAATATGATTGTAACATATTGACGGTGTGTTTTATGCAATATGCGACCAGGTTCTATTTTATAGTGACTGTTTGTAACTAAACCTATTATTGTTGTGATCATGACTGTGTGAGTTGGTATTGCTTGTAATCAGACTTGTGTTATTTGTGACCGTATGTGATCAAGTCTATTTTTATTGTGACTCTATGTCATTAGATCTATTTTAATTGTGACTCTATGTAACAAATTATGTGTTAACAGGTACACGTGTAACCAAACACTTGTTAATAATACCCCATCAACCATTTCAATTAAAAAATTCCAATTAAATTTATTTTAAATGTTAACTTGGAATCCTCTGGCTCAATCATTTAAATCGGACCCAAAGTAGGTTTTTCAATTGAACTGACCCATTCGGGTTATGACCCGATTCACAGGCAACTTATAAAAAGGTCAATCCTCCCAATTTGACACCACTATTCTTAATAAAATAATTACTTTTTCCTTGATAAGTTGGTATTGTACTTTGGAAATTTGTCAAGACTTCCAAATCAGTATTTTTAACATCTTTTTGTTCTTTAACTTCGTTAAAAAAAAAAAATACTATATTGTATTACAGGTGTTAAACACCAATTTATATGGCTCATAAATGTGCCATTAAACCCTTGTTTCCTTTAGCTAAAAATCAAATTTTTATTTTTTAAGATTTCGATAAAAATTGATGAAATGTGTAGTTAAAAAGTTGATAAAAATCATGAATCCCACAAAATTTGTGGTTGAAATTAAATTTTAGAAAAATGAATTTTAGAAAATGAGGTCTAAACGAGAGTAAATGACTTGTTCAATTAAATTTCAAACCCTTGTTTTAGCCCTATTATCTAAAAACCTTTTTTTTTTTTTTTAACAAATCACACATTTTTCAAATAAAACATTTTCGCTATTAAAAAACTCATTTTCAACCCCACCACCCCAAAAAAACATTTTCGCTATTAAAAAACTCATTTTCAACCCCCCCCACCCAAAAAAAAAAAAAAAAAGTAATAAAAAAAGCTCTCAAACATAGGCTTAATTGAGCTTATAATTTAATATCACGTAAATTAGTGTTTTAATACTAAGCCCCCATTTTGTGTAGATTCAAATTTTTATTAGATTTTTAAAAAGTAGATTAAATGTATGACTGAAAAGTTACGAATTCCATAAAATATGTAATTAAAATTAATTATTGATTTTGATTTGAATTTCCTTCCAAACAGAAGTTATAGCTTTTATATAGCAGATTATATTACTCTATTTAATCCATTTTTCACAACAATTAAAAAGAGATTTTTATTTATTTATTTATTTTTTTGGGAGAAAATGAGTTCTTGAATGATGAAGTTTTTTTGGGAAATTTTGTTATTAAAAAGTAGGAAAAAATTGAGTTTACATGCACAATATTTTATTGTGTCAATGTGTAGAAAAAAATGGATTGGACAAAAAAAAAATTTAAAAACAATTGATTTAATGGATGACAAACTGAGCTTAATACGGCGGCCCGAGCACCGATCTCCAATTTTAATCCCACAAAGCGACCCCTAATTTAGCCTTTCCATGAGTTTAATATGCCGAATTATCAAATCCATCACCTTACCAAGAGTTTAATAACCCCACAAGCACAAGGAATAATTCTATTTATCTACTCATAATGATCACGAATGTAGACGATAGTTAAATGACATTTTTTTAGCCAACTTACGCGCACCTTGACTAATTTCACGAAGCCCTGAAGTTTACAGTCAGGTACTTACCTCGGTGACCTTGAAGGAATTCGAACTTGTAACCATTGAAAAGCAAACTCAAGACCTAACCATCGAACTACCCCTCAAGATTGACGATAGTTAAATGACATTAAATGATATGTTATCTTAAATTTAGAGATTCGAGGAATGCCCCTTAATTGCCAGACTCCTGATCACATAAACAGCATTATTCAGGTGCAAAATCAGCAAAAACAGAGCAATCCCAAATTCAATTCTAAGAAATAAATCAATTTAAATGAAGAAAAAAATGTAGCCATGCTTGTTCTTTTCTTCCAACTTCAGAAGAAGCAAGTCATAATCATAATTTACATTTCACAATAGAACCAATTAAAAAGATCAATTACATAATAAAAAATTGTAGCTTGCTTTAACCAAAAACAAGCTTCCAAAAAATCACCACCAGAAGAACCCCCACTAGCTACCTAGGAATGTGCAACTTCTAAGAAAAAACTGGCTTGCAACGGCAGAGCTTCAAAATGGACAATGTACAGGGAACCAACAAGCAAGAAAATCCAAATTCAGAGCCTGCTTTGTTATTGACAAAGAATTAAAAAAAGGTTAAAAAACTGATGTAGAAGCTGCAATTAGTGATCCAAGTCAAAATTAAAGAACATTCCACTTCAAGCTATATGATCTTTAGCCAATCGAGAAAATCATAACAAATAAACAAACAAAACAATGAAGCATATTTTATTTTGTTCTCATAATTCCGGAAGAACTTTTGATGTCAAACGGCCAGAAATTGTCCCGAAGTAAGTCATTTGGCTCCAAATATCAACTATCATTTATTGTCATTTGACCTAGAAGAATATATGTTTGAAACATTATGATTTATAATAATTATATATAGTTGAATGCTTTATTAAGAAAGCACAGATTATTTGATTTGAACAATTCAATCCCAAGTTTGACAAACATTAGCAACTCCATATAAAAGTTGCTTGAAAAGAACTATTCTATGTATTCACTCTTAACAAGAAAGACTTCGATTTCAAGTCTAAGCCAAAAGGATATATTTGAACATTAAGGAAGGGCTAGCATATAAAAGTGCATGACTAGAACTATTCTATGCGATCACTCTTAACAATAATCCAAAAGGATATATCTGAACATTAAGGGCGGGCTAGATTATAGTGGTCTAACACTCCTGCTCAATAAACTTTACACTTAGTGCCTTCATTTGGGACAAACTGCAACCAGTCAAAGCATTCTTTTTCCTAATATTAAGTGAATTTCCAGGATAGAAATGGTGAATGATGCTCAAAGCATTACAGATATAGCATGTTTGAATAAGCTTAAAAAAAGGTTTGTATAACTTACCTTTTCTTGCTTATGAGTAAAAAAAGAAAAAAAAACTTACTTATTTTTGAAGTAACTCTTCCCTCGTGTCAATATATTTTCAACTTTGAAACTCATTTAATTTTAAGAACTATTTTTAGGCTTAGAAAAACATGCTCTATGAATAATGAGCTTAAATCTTTAACAACTTCACAAGTAAGAAGCTAGTTAGTAATTATATAAGAGCTGGAACATTAAAAAAAACATTAAGGAAAGGGAGGGTTACAAAATCTAGCCATTTAAAGGATGTCTATCAAGCATATGGCAAACATTCTCTCCAGATATAATTCTAATCTATTCGCACAAGATAATTACGGCAGAACCGTTCATATAATTCAGTCAAATTCTAATCACATATAATGGTTTTAAGTAGAGGGTCAAGCCCCCGTTTGGCCCCCTTTTTGTGGAAAAATTAATGGGTAGAATAGTGTTTTTTTGAAAAATGAGTGATTGAAAAAGAAGAAAATTTTTTCAATTTACGTGTAATATTATTTTATGAAAAATTGTGTGGTTGAAAATATGAGAGAGAAAAATAAAATATAATGGAATGAAAATTAATGAGGGCCAAACGGGAGCTAAAATCCAAAACTACATTAATTCTTATTTGAAACTGAAGTTCCCAGATTTGATTTAAGGTTTTCTTCAAGTTTCTGCATTCTTTTCCACAAAAAAAAAAAAAAAAAAAAAAGGAAATTGGGGAAACCTTTTCCGAGCTTCCACAACATTTCTTAAGAGTTTTTAAAGTGTTCGTTTTCTTAAACATGCCCAAAACGAAAACAACGTTGTTTAGAAATTCCATGCAACCCAGGTTCTTAGCAATGGCGTGGTAAGGAAAAGTATTTAATGGCCTTTTTATCCCACATATTATAATTTAAACAAACTGCCCACATATGTTAGTTCACACCCATATGCATTGCAATCAACTGCGAGATAAGAACCAAACACTAAAAGAAGCATCTAGATGGCATCATTTAAGTAGGAAAATATGAAGAAAAGAATGACGGAAACAGAACTACAATTGAAGAGGCTGCACACACCTGAAGTACCTTGGTCCGATGTCCTGCATACAACAAAAAAATATGTCATAACCTCAACCAAGCAATTGGAATAAACTGTACAACAATTTCACATGAATTAGAAAGCCAAAAGATAGTATTACATCTCAATAAATCTAATTTAGCTGACACTCATGGGAGGCACAGCGACTCGACACAGATGATATTTATAATGTTAACTTCATCATTCTTTTAGTACTAAGAATGCCTCAACAAATTTACCCAGAAAAAGTAGAGTGCAAGTTGCAATTGCATATTTATTTCCCTTGTCATAGACTCAGTTGCTCATTGTAATCTTTTTCAAGCTAGCACTTGAAAAGTTATAGCAAGTACATCCATGAAAAAAGATCAGTATTTGTGATTTAAATGATAATACTCACTGTGGCAGCCGCAGAAACTTTGTGATTCTACTTTGATGAGTGTCCCCTTCTTGAGGGCAAACCTCACTCAAGCTTCCTAACCGTACTTCATATTTATCATCAAGGAGTATGCTGCTCGCTTGGACATCCCTTTGAGAACAAAAATAAATAAATGTTGACGTTATGAGTACCACTTTGCTGATAAAAGGCCAGAAGAGAAAATCTGATACAAGAATTCAGTAATGTCATTAAAAGTACCAAGAACGATTTTATAACAGAAAGAGGTTGGATATCATCAAGCTTAATCGTACTGTTCGCTAATCCACTCAACCAGGAAACTATTTTATTATAGGGGTATATTGAGCATTCAGATTTTGTGCTAGGTTAATCTAAGATTACTATTATATAAAAAGATATTCAAGGGAGCCATTTTAACACAGATACACAGACTGAGAGATGAAAATTGAAAAACACCTATATTGTGAACCTCTTGATTTTTTGTGAAGACCTGCAAGGCAAGTGGATGTAGACTTCACATTGAGGCGAATCACTATTAATGTGTTATCCTTCGCATTTTTACGACTTCTGCTTGCTTATTACTGCTCTGGGAATTAGGATTAAGGTTCAATTCATAACAAGATGTAACGTCCAAGAGTTTGGCAGTCTATACGTACTCCATAACCAGTCATCTAAAAATGGTATTGTGATGAGCGACCGATGAGGTATACAATAGATACAGAAGTTCCTCTAAATGCAATGTACAACTGTAAACACCTCACATCGTAAAATGGAATTGACAACATCAGTTTCTTGCAATAATTACAGAATGATGTAAATTGAGGCCTATCCATTTTTGTTAAGTTACAAAGCAGCCAAGAGGAATTAATGAATATCATCACCAATTTAGCTAACATTTCTGAAAACATTCCAAAAGGTCATTATTACTGACTCCCCTCCCACTTATAATGGAGTGCTTCAATAGCCCAATGGCCCCGTGCGGTGGGAGGGCTCCTAGAAGTGGTTGGGGAAATCTTTTCTTATATCTAAATATCACATCTATTAACCAATTTTGTTTAAAAGAGTCACTGCCATCAAAACAACAGAGCAGATAAGGTCAAAAAATATGGAGTTAATGGGTACATAAAGCATATACCTATGAAATTCTTTGAAGGGTATTATAAATATTATTAGGAGACCATTAATATTATTACCATATAAATAGTTAACAAGTAACTAACAAGCTAATGGAACTAACATTAGACATCAAAATGATGAGAGTAGTAAATAATAGTTAACAAAAACATAAAAAAGTTAATGATTTCACGATCTCGTAAATTCTTCAAAGTGTACAATACGGGTGGTATCTCATAGTTTCTTAACATTTTTTTTACATAGTGTCATAAATATTTGAAGAGATTTTGTTGTCCTCTGACAAAAGTTTGATTGTGTAGAAGTCTCAGCAATTGAAATGCAAATAGAATTTTAGTTTATTTCCCAAACGAGATTCATGTAGCCGATGCCAAATGAATTGGAAATAAGGTTCAGTTTATTGTTGTTCACTTTTGTTTCAAGTTCCCAGCTTATGTGCAGAGGCTTTGTCCACCATAACAAAATATGCTTTTGGTGACCTCTTGATTAACTACATCACAAATATTGCACAAAAATTACATAACAAGCATAGCCAAAAATTGTAGAAAAATTACATGTGGATTCATTATGATGCACAGAAAAACATGCTTCAGCTCTATTGGAAATTCAGACTTAGTTTGTTGTTATTTAGCTTCAGCTCGCAAATCATGCTCAATTTTCTTCCTACTGCCAGGCATTTCAAACTGATTTTAAAATCAATATCAAGTAAGAACTTAAGCAGGTGTCTATCATCACACTCTTGCTAAAAAGTTGAAAAACTAGAATTTTCAAAATTTAGCAACTTGAACAACCCAAGTCTCAGATACAAAATTATACACCAGTGACAGTCAGGCATTGATTTAATGAGCAACAACTGGCAGGCCTAAAGAACTTAGCAGACAAATAATAGGCCCAAATTTTAGCCTTTGCGACCTCAAAGATTTCAAAAATGAAGACGATGTGTTTGTAAGTTAGAATTATAACTATGGAGATAAATGTAACAGAAAAGAAGTAAAGCAACTGCTCTCAAAAAAGAAAAAAGAAAAGAAAAAAATTATTTCCTGACTGCTATATGAGTACTTTTACTCAAGATGCTATTGATTCTCAGGAAGGAAAACATTAGTCATGTATTTGACACATTAGGCAGCAAAATCAAATCAAATCAAATCCCGGAGCATATTTTTCTGCTCGGCACTCTAATTCCATTTTTTTTTCATCAATCAATGAGCAGTCTCTGGCAATCAGATAACTATGATAAAAGCAATGCATTTTCAATGTGGAGAACAAATATTCACTTTATAACCAGGTTAAACTGGAAAGAGAAAAAAAGTCGAGAATATTGTAATAAAAGGCCTAAGGTTCTCAGTATACCTGTGAACAAGTGGAGGTGTACACTCATGGTGTAGGTAAGACAGACCCTCAGCAGCCCCGATTGCAATTTTCAGTCTTGTTATCCAATCCAGTGACTGTAAACTGTCGTCATCTGAATCTGGTTTCTTAAACAAAGAACTAGATAGGTCTCCATTTGGCATATATTTGTAGACCAGAAACTTTTCGTTCTCATTCTCCAAGCAGTACCCTAAGAGGGGGACCAATCTGGGATGAGAAACCCTGCCAAAAAGGTCCAGTTCTAACATGTAACTTTCCTTTTTGACTGATGATTGCAAATGAATCTTCTTGATGACTATTGAGATTCCTCCTTCAAGTATACCACGGAAAAGATCACCAGAATGGCCATGCTTGATTAGATTTGCATCGCTGAATTCAGCTGTAGCTTGGAGAATCTGCTGATACGTAAATGAATCTCCTAGACTTGAAAAATTCAAGGACACACCAGGAGGTGGAGGACTTTCACCTGCAGGAATAGGGCCCGTACCAGTGCCTCTTAGGTTTGTCGAACCATTCTTGCGCATGCATACAATCAACAGTACAATCAATATTACGAGTAATGCGATTACTCCAATACCTCCCAAAACAGCTGCTAAAATAATCAATGTTTTGTGGCTTTTCTTTTCAGATTTGGCAGGAGGTTGGGTGCTGTTTGGCAGTCCAAAATTATCAAATACTAAACCCCTGTCAGCATAAAATGATGCACATTCTCCTGCACCCCTCTGACTTGTCACATTTTGAAGGCAATTGAGACTAAGAGATGTCTTGCCCCGTGCATAATCTGGAACCCGACCTTGAAAATAATTGCCCGAGATATCAATAGAACTGAACCTCATGATCACAGAGGTAAGACTTCCATAAAACAAATTCTGAGAAATGTTAAAAACAGCAAAACTAGCATTAGCTTCCAAACTGACATTGGGCAGTCTACCGGTTAAGTTATTTTCAGAGGCATCCAGAAATCGCAATTCAGGCATAGACCAAAGCACACCCGGGAAATCACCACTAAAATTGTTATGACTCAAAACCACAAATTGCAACTGAGTCAGAGGAGGAAACAAATTATCTGGCAACGATCCTGACAGGAAATTGTTCCCAATAACCAATCTTTGCAAGTTTTTCAACCCTCTAAAATCTGGAGGCACCGAACCAGATAGCGAATTAAATCCAAGGTCAAGGTCAATCAGGCTAGAAAGATCACCAAGTTGGGCAGGTATTGAAGAAGACAAACTGTTTCGTGAAAGATTCAAGAACTGCAGCCTAGACAAAGTCCCAATGCCCAGAGGAACTGCTCCGGACAAGTAATTCAAAGACAAATCAAGTAAAGTAAGGTTCCCCAGTGAGGAAAAAGACTCGGGAATCGAACCTGTAAGCAAATTCTGCGAAAGATCAAGCACGGAAAGGCTTGACAACTGACCTAAACTCAATGGAACTATCCCAGTAAGATTGTTATCAGATAAATACAGTTCAGTTAAGCTAGTCAAATTTCCAAGAGTGAAAGGAATAGCACCAGTAATCAAACAAGACCTAAGATCAAGCACTCGTAGAACGCCAAGCCGCAGGCCTAACCATTCAGGAATTGACCCCGGGAGAGCAAAATTAGAGGCATTAAAGGAGGATAAAAGGGTCAAATTCTGGAGGGCATCCACAGAGAATTGAGGGTTTCGACTCCCTCTTCGAGTCCTCCTGAACCTAGATATGTTGATCTCAGTGACCCGACCATTCAGGCATTGGATACCAACCCAGTTGGTACACGGGTCAGGTTTTAAGGGCCATTCTCTGGCCCTCAACCCTAATGAAGATCTCAGTTGAAGCAGAGCAAACCTTTCTTGTAATGGAACTGAGAATTGCTGTCCCAATGTCGTACCAAACAGCAAGAGAAATACTGAACAAAGAAAAACTACACTGCTCCACCGATCCTCCATATCTGCTGCACCTTCATTGAACTTCAAACCCAGCACCCTTCACATTCATATACTTAAATGTACAATACAACACATTTAAATTTAGGGATTCTTTGTTTCAATAGGAATATCCATATGTATCCGTTAAAAGGACTTACCTTTACGAATGAATCAGAAGTTTTGATTTGATTCTTGAAAAATCTTGTTTTTTTCTCTCTATCTCCACCTACTACTTCCTTCAGTTCCCTTCAGTTGACAATGGAGGAGAGAGAAATGGATTTAAAAAAAAAAGGGGGGTTTCCAATACTGCATATGTTTAACCAGTACTACTGTTATACAGTAGATCTCTCTCTAAATGCTAACAGTGTAACTCGGCGGTGCAACCAAGAAATTGTGGGTTTGTCCAGACCCGAGCCAATATCGAGCCATACGGGTCACGACTCGGGCGACTCAGTGTTGTGGACCCATTTCTACCGGCCGTTGGGTTCGGTGCTGACTGCTGTCCAATACAGCTAAGCCTAATACCATTTCTGTTTTACGTTTACCATTTGTATTTTTAGGCAATAACAGTTATATATAGTAAAATAATCTTTTTTTGATGCAATTTTTTATTTATTTATTTTTTTCTTAGATCTAAAAAAATTAAAGATTAAATTTTAATTTGATTTCAACTTAGGATCGAAATGATAGTAAGAGGTCAAAGAAATATTTTTTAAGAAAGTCTTTTTTTTTTTTTAAATAAACTAGTAAAGCATTGATGAAACCATGAATATTCGAATAAGATTTTTTATAATAGATTTTGTAATAAGTAATTTTTTAGAGAATGTAAAATTAAGTAGAAAAAAAGTTATGAATTACGTACAAAATTATTTTATTAAGCGATCGTATGATGAAAATAAATTTAAAAAAACGAAAATGGACCAACCAAACGCGACTCAATTACTTTTTCAAATTTACTACTTTAGATCAGGTAGTAAAGAGACCTCATTGACAGTTCATATCAAGAAATTCATTAAACCAATATAATTGCTTTTAAATTATTTTCATAAAGTAATATTAATTATTTTTAATTATTTTCAAGACTGGTCTTAATTAGAGTTTTACAAGTAGTTGGGTTGGTGCAATTTAAGCTGTACCTTGACTGCATCATTAGTTATTTTTTGCCGTATTTTTTGAAAATTGAAATTTCTTGTTTGCCTAGTAGACACATTAGGAATTTTAGGGGATTTAGAATTCAAAAGTTAGGTAGGACAATTAAATAGAACGTATCGACCAAAATAATGTCAACTTTTAGAAATCTTGGGTTTGGTTTTGAGCCATGCTATATGAACAGATTCAAAAATAGACTCAAAAACAAGTTCGACACGTGTTGATTCGGGATTGAAATGTTTGAAAAATAAAAAAACATAACAACCAATCATTCCATGCCACATCAGCATGTTTTTTGCATCCCTGTCCCTGTGCCCGTTCAAGGGAATTATTCCTTGGTTTTTAGCAAGTAAACTTTGGGTACACTTGACTATAAACGATAATATACTACTAAGCACGTATCATGTTCAAACTTTGCAAGTAACCACGTAAATTTTTTCACATGTGTTTTCATTACTATGCTTATTTCTTACAATAATATCATAGATTGCTTGCTTAAATATTGTTATCTATAACTTCTTTGATACATTTAGTTAAATAAAACTAGACAATACAATTCCAATACTGGACAATTCTTAATAAGAACAGAAAATATATATATATATATATATATTAAAAATTAATCTATGTTAATGGCATGGGGAAAAAGTCTACTCTATCCCTTTTTACAGTAATGTCCACATTATTAGGCGGCTCAAATTTAATCCACGACAGAGGTAGGGACTCTATCATACGAATTTCTAGTACTTTGCTGGAAGTTGTACGTAGTTTAAAGCCCGTAAATAACTCAATTTTTATGAAAAGTTGTCAGTATACTTCAAATACTTAGGGCCTATTTGGTGTTTATTATGAGAATCAATTTTTTTTACTGTTAGCTTGAAAAGTGAGTCTCACCTATAAATAAAGAGGTCAAAAATATTGGTTGACTATTAAAATGAAAAATATGATCGTTATTCATCACATCTAAACATCATATTTGAGTTTCTATCTCTTTGGTAGGATCCGTAACGACTATATTTTTCATTCTTATTCTTACATTGATGTGGCTCAAACGGAGCCTTGGTAACTTATATATAAAACATAAGTTTTTTCAAAACTTTATAGANGGGGGGGGGGGGGGGGGGGGGGGGGGGGGGAGAGAGAGAGAGAGAGTGTGTGTGTGTGTGTGTGTGTGAATTACCTAGAAATAAAAACTAACTCTCCGCAAAGAAAATATTTTTTTTATTTTTGAGGAAAATATGGTCATATAACTATAAAGTTCAAAATTATTTTTCATGGAAAAATTTATCAATCAAACACCTCAAAGGTAAAAATTTGAATGAAAAAATTAATATTTTTCATGAAAAATAAAGTCAATCAAACATACCCTTATGGTCTATCTGTTGTAGCTTCTTAACACACACAAAAAAAATAAAATAAAATAAAAAATAATCAAGTTTTCTACCATTTTTGGTCAATTGGGACCTGCACGTGAGAGTGGCGGTGAAAAATGACTGTTGCCAACGGTAAAAAAATTCATTTTTTTGGCCCAAAAACTGGCTCAAGACGAGGGCTTAATTCTTTTGATGGGCTTTTAAAATAATAATAATAATAATAATAATAATAATAATAATAATAATAATAATAATAATAATAATAATAATAATAATACAGCTACTCAAGGTATTTTCCTCACTTTGTTCAAAAGTAAGATCCATAGAATATGTAGAATCCACGCTGCATATTCATCACAATCAAGCCAATGAATTTATTCCATACCTACTCCCCATTTTGAAAGTGTTTCTGCATTACGACTTCCTAACTTTCAATTGTCATATCAAATAACTATCTCACCTTTCCAAAACGAGACTCGAGTCCTTTTTCTAGAAGACCATATACCTGATGGCGATATATACTAATTTCACTAAAATTGAGCCCCCGTTTGAAAATTTTTAAAATAAAAATTCCTTTTTTTTTTTTCAAATTCATTTTCTACCACATATTTTCATAATAAAATATTTTATATTTAAATCCAAAATCTTTCCTATTTTCTGATCATGCATTTTCCAAAGATTCATTATTTCAAAATACGTTTTTTCTCAAAAAAAACTCATTTTAGTAATTATCATACAGGGGTTGAACAGCGAACTACACACCTTCAAACATAAGAAAAATAACTCGGACAAGCACGACTATAATGGATATTTTTGCTTTAAGAATATTACTTAAAGCAATTAGAAATTTACAATACATTTGATTTATAAAAAAAAATAACAAGTTTAATCACAACGAAAATGGTTATCTTTGTTTTAGTAACCCAAGAATAATTATACCCACATAATAGTAATATTAATAAGTTCGTCCGAGCTTTCTTTCTATGTATTTAATAAGACATAATTAATACGTATTATTTGAAAATAATACAATGTATTCATGTCCGAGCTTTCTTTCCATGTATTTAATAAGACATAATTAATACGTATTATTTGAAAATAATACAATGTATTCATGAACAAGTACGAATACACAGCTTTTCTGCTTCAATTATCTTGTTTGGCCCCCAAAAAATAAAAATAAAAATAAAAAATCACCTCTATTTATATTTAAAAAAAAATTATATTTAATAATGCTGCAATTATGAAGTGTAGGTTTCAGTTGGGGGACAATGATGACGATAAACCTTTTAAATTTATTACAAAAGGTTATTTAAATAATTACGTACCAGCCTCAGCCACTTTAATAAAATTTCAAAAATGTTTTAAATTTTCGATATTCTTGCAAACATTTTTGTACTTGAGTAGTGTTGGCAACGTTTCGGTTCAGTCAAAAAATCATCATCGAACCACAAATTTTTTAGTTATACCATAACCACGCAAGTCGATTTGGTTCAATTCAGTTCGTATCTCAATTTGGCTCGGTTCAGACGATTAATAATCACGAACAGGAGCAAATCCAGGACTTTGACCCAACGAGAGCGATCATTGATCATTGACCGTCAACAGTCAACAATCGTATAACAATGTCATTTATTAATATCAAATTAAATAATATTAAAAATTATTCTATCTATATGTAAATACACTAAAACGTAAAAATCGTATATTACAGTACAATTCAATCTAAAATAATATAAAATAAATTATACATGAGACTTCTTTGTGTTATCAGTGCTTAATAAATCGTTTGCTCGACTAAAAGTACTTAGGGGATTAGATGCACCACTACAAGAATTAGGTTGGGACATCGATTAAACATTTTACCTTCTTCCTCTCTAGCTTGTCTTCCCCAGTGACTCCCCCTTCAAAACCATCCATGGTGCCGAAAGCTTCACAGATTCCACTAAAATTTCAATTCTGGCGAAGCCACCTCGCCAGATGCTAGCTCCGCCCTTGACCATGATAATAAAGTATTTTTTATAGGTCCATCCGTGAAATTGGAACAAAAAAAAAAATTATGAAAAAAAGTCAAGGGAAAACACACACACACACACACACACACTACTTAATCAATTTAACAAATACTATCTCAAATGAAAATACAAACAATAGCTCAATTCCCAAATGCAAAATTTGAATTTAACAAGTAATATTATCAACGTAACAATACTAAATAATATCATTGTCCATTGATCCTTATGTATCGAACTTGACTCCTACTCAATAAATCAAAAGCTCCAACCTCAATTCATATACAATCTTCATTCATTGAAAGAATAATGGAAAACCCAATTGCACAATTAGATTTTTTTTTTATTAACGGGTACGTATAAAAAAAATTAATGGGGAATTGGTTCGGGGCGGGTCAACGATGTAAATAACATACTCGCCCCGAATCAGGTTATTAAAATCAAATACCATATACACCCCCATTACACCATTGGTTCAATTTTTCACCTCGTTTGATTCGATTAATTGCGATTTTCGATTTTGACAGTTTGAATTGTCATCCCTAAATTTGAGGGAAAAGATGGTATAGGTGGAAAATACACCCAAATATGAGAGCCAACACTTCAGTTCATCTTCAACTTCAAAAAATGTTACATCTTCAACTAGGTTAGAACATTAGGTTGATCTGTTCGAAAATCTTAGTACCCAAAACCACCAATTATAATTCGAATATTTCATAATTGCAATCATTTGAGTACACATAATAACTGAAATTCGAATCGACGATTTTGATTTTAATTTTAATTCGATTCTATCCATAATATATTTTTTTAATGAGCTGACAAGACAATCTTGCCAATATCTAGCAGAGTAGAAGAAATAAAATATGTCATCAAATATATATTTCAACACTTTCTTAATTCATTGTAGTTATATAACAAATAATATACATTATATAACAACTTGACATCATGTGTCGCCTCAAGAAG